TTTTCGTAACTCCTTCGTAATCGTTCACGTTCGAACGGAATGAATTAACGGATCGTTAGCAATAACTCGATTCGATTCCATTTTTTTTTTTTTTTTTCATTTTCTTTACTTTTTTAGACCTTTATTCTTTGCATACATTTCGTGTCGATCCATTTTATATATAACTTATTATAAATTACTTTTTGTTTTATGAAAAATAACAGATATATATTCGATACAAACGTTAAAGTCCTAGATCAGTTAGTTCTCGTAATAGAAAAAAAATAAAGTGTAAAGGGTCTCTCTTTTCTGCGGGTCGAAGTTTACGGTGGTATTTTTTCTTTCTTTTTATTTATTTCCTTAGAGAAAAGGATGAGGGCTGCAGCGCGTTGGCTACACGTCAATTTGTCGAAATTCGTTCCGTATCGTTTTATGTCCGCGAGTCGCGACCCGCTACCATGGGCACACAGAACACCTTCTACCGTCTTGCTACCAACACGCTTTGGATCATTCTCCGTCTTCAAATAATGTTGGGGAAAATAATATAATTACTAACGTGCCACATTGTATTTTTTTCGAAGGACGAAAAATAACAGAGGGCGAAAAAAAATAATAATAATTGTGCATAATAAATGATGTATATTTTTATCTATGTATACGTGTAGATATTTTCAAAGTCACGTGTATTATTATCATTTTTTGAAGAATCATTTCACGACAATATGGTACAGTAATAATAATAGATATTAGAATTAGTTTGCACAAAGATGATACTGATTGGCAAAGTATAAGGTAGATGAATCGTCTCTCTGTTAGAAGCCGCCTCCGTACATAGTGTATCTACCTGCTTTAAATCTCGAACAGGGAGCTCGATTGCAACATAGGTGCACCGGTTAATCTTATCTTATCCGAAGATCCCTCTAATACCGTACCATGCTTCGTAGTAACTTGCTATACGAAGATACCTGAATACGTAAATACATATACATATACATATAAATTTAGGAAACGTATTCTGCGCATGAATCAACGCATCGCATCGAATGGAAAAAGAAAAAAAGAATTAGGGTGAGAGAGAGAGAGAGAGAGAGAGAGAGGAAGAAAATTCGAGAGAGAGAGTGTATCGAATTAGATATATATTTCTTATTTATAAATATATATGTATTATAAACTTTATTAGAAAATAGGATCCTCGGTAACCGTTGAATTTCGATAGTGTTTAGACGTATTATCTCGAGGAGTTATCGCTGCTACGCTTATCGGTTAAAAACTCAAACGATTACGATAAGATCGAGTTATAGTGTGGGTTCGTGAAAAAAACTCGTAAATTCAAGTTTATTTTGATATATTTAATCACGGAATGCGTTAAGGAAACATTGAAAAAAAATAATTTTACAATAATGAAGAAGATATATCTACTTATAATAATTATAGATACAAGAAAGAAACGAGTCGTACGATGGATAAAAGTCGTAAGATAGTTTTTTTTTCTGAGAGAAAGAGAGAGAGAGAGAGATAAGAAAAAAAAGATAAGTTGTCCCTTTTGTACGCTTCACGCTAAATTTTCTTTCTTGCGTTGACCATCGCTTGTCGGAGTGTTAATTGCGTCCTCGTAAGACTAACAGGCGCGACACTCGTTGTTGTGGGGTAGAAACAGAGGGAGAGAACAAAATAAACAACATAGGTTAGGGTGGGAAAAATATCTTTTTTTTTTTTATCTATCGCGATGACAGTCACAATTCTTTCTTTATTAATCTAATTTATGGATTGAAATATTAAACAAAATGATTGGAAAATAAAATGATTATTTATCATTTCAGACATCCCCTGTTTCCGCTTCTCGCATTGATATTTGAGAAATGCGAATTGGCGACGTGTACACCGCGCGAGCCAGGTGTTGCCGGAGGTGACGTTTGTTCCTCCGAAAGTTTCAACGAGGACATAGCAGTTTTTTCCAAACAGGTAAGTAAACAAAAACAAAAGACCATAAATGTTTTAATCAGTATAATATAGAATAGATTTAGATCGATCATTCTCGTTTTGATCGCAGTTAAGGTGCTCGTCTGCGAGTTATTGTTCCCATGCAGGATCTTCGAAGAGAACTCGTTCGTACCTTTTTCCCTTTCGTACACCCTTTTTTTCTCTCTTTCTCTGTTTGTCTGTCTTCATTTAGCTAGGCAGAACTAAGAAGAGATGGCGAAGGTGGAGGAGGAGGAGGAGGAGAGTAGCTCTCCCCCAAGGACACGCGTAGGTAACTCGAGAAGCCAAGGGAGCCCCGTAGTAAGTCCCCGGTGAAACGATTTCGGGCCTTTTAAAAACGTACCACTCCTGGCCGTCTACATTCCTGACCGCTCTCTCGCGTGTAAAGGTACCTTGGTACCCGACAGAAAAATGTATTCCTTATATATTGCCACACACTGTGAAACCGGTATATGGGGTATAGACGGTGCTGGTAAACGACGCCGCCGCACTACGCGCAAACCCGACACGAAGAATGAGAACTTCAATTTAACAAACCGCTCGTTATGCCAATATTTCTATTTCTATTTCTATTTTATTCTTTATTTCGTTGCAACGAAATCGAATCGAGCGTGACGATACCTAAGTACTGAATTAAAAGCTTAAACTCTTATGTTATTCTATGCTCAAGAGTATTATAATATGTTGAATTTATTTACGATACGAAAAGTTTCGATTGTATGCAATCGTTCGGTATATTTATCTTAGGTACGAATATTTCTTGCTAAATTCACGCGAATATTTACTGTTGTTTAATTACGATATTAGAAATATTTAATAGATTGTACACTAAAAAAAAAGAAAGAATATATTGTACGTAGAAAGAAAAATTGATGCTAGAAGTCCACGTGGGCTGGTGAAATTCGTGGACAAGCCGGTGTTATTAAATTTAGGAGTTCGGTAACGCGGTAGCGATAGCTTTGTGCGGTCTTACGCAGAGATAACGATAAAAGTTAAGCCTCCCCAGCAATATGGGATAAGGTAAACGTGTTTCACGTGTGGGTGTGTACGGTACTTAGTTACTTACAAACTTAAAGACATTGAACGTGCCTTATAATTCGCTAAAAATATCTCGGTATACGCCTTGGGAAGGTTTCTAAGTGGATTAAATTTAACACGTCATCGTATTGTTACCTTTTTTTTTTTTTTATTCTATATTATTTCGCCGTAACATCGTCAATGAGACATTGTTGTTATAAAACGAGCTAATGAACAAGAGATAAAAGAAAAGACTCATTTTTCCAGACGACGATTACATTAACTTTAGAATTCTCGTATCGCCGATAGATCGGTTATCCGGTTCGCTATTTCTATTATTTATCCGCGTCTTGTTGTGACATTATCAAGTCGAGTGCATATATGTGCGACGCGTTGCAATTCTTTCTCGGTTAAGTACTAAGCTATTACGAAATTGACGTGACATTTGCATCTTAATAAGGCGTATATAGAATATAAACGTATAAATGGATAGGTAGGAAATTTCTAAATCTAACGTGTGAGAGAGTGTTATATTTAAAAAACAAACAAAGGAAATAGATACCAAAAATAATCAATCAGATCAAATATCTTTTTTCCTCTAACTAATTTTGCCGTTTCAATTCGAAAATAATAGCCTATAATAATAATATCTGTATATCGTATAAAATATTTATTTCGTCGGAACGTAAATTATCTTATAAATAAATTCGCGCGAAAAAATAGGGGTATGACGCGTATAGAAAAAAAGAAATAAAAGGAAAGGAAGTATCTATAAGTAGCAGTATAAGTAGAAGTAATATAGTCAAGGAAGCTTTATTAAGAGACGTTAGGAGATAAGCAGGTGACGGTTCTTTGCGGTGAACGTGTACAATATTCTTCTCTCTCTCTCTCTCTCTCTCTCTCTCTCTCTCTCTCTCTCCTTTTTTTATCCCCGATATTTCTACGGAGATAGCGCAAGCCGACACACAAAAGAGCCCTCACGCTGTGCACGGATTATGCGTTTTGCCCGATCGTTCAGTTATTCGCTTTGCTCGTTCGTTGATTTCTAAACGCGTGCGGACTCACGTACGAACTTCATTTGCATCAAAGCACGCGCCTCTATCTCTATTATTCACTCTGTTACTCTCTTTTCTATGTAAATTATCTATTTTATAAGTTTTTACCTCGATAACAAATCTTTGCCATTTCATTTATTTCGATAGAATGTGATTATATATATATATAAAAAAGGGTTTTCCGAATATGCAATAGTAGTAATGTTGAACGTAGGAATCAATTATTAAACTAAGATTATTAATTGTTAACAATTGTATCGATAAGAATGAAAAGAAATTTGGATTTATTTGAATGTTCTCGAAATAATAAATATAAGTATGCGCGCGGCAATCTTTCATTCGTGCATCAGTGGCTGCTCGAAAGAGAGGAAACGTGAAGGAGAGAGAGAGAGAGAAAGGGATAGATGAAGGGGGTAGATGAAGGGGGTAGATGAAGGGGGTAGAGAGCAAAGGAGAGGAAAGAGCTGCTCATTTTCTGCCATTGTAAATTGATCTATTCAGTGGGTCCAACCCGACGGTATTATCCCCTCGCGTTTTACCCGGGCCGCGTGCTGCCGCTCGTCTCTTTGCCGTATGGGGCCCTGAACCATCATACTTTCTATCTCTATCTTTCTTTCTTTCGGTGAGTTGCTTATGGTGGCCCCCTTTTGGCCTTGCCTGAGAAGCGAGGACGCCGCGAGGACGACCCGCTGTGCCCACGTTGTGCTCATTGTCCTGGCCTCTGGCCTTTTTTTCATACCGAACGAAAGAAGCGACCCACTTTTCTGTGTTCCTTATACACACCATGCTTCGCTCTCAATTTCACACCGACGAGAAAGAGAGAGAGAGAGAGAGAGAGAGAGAGAGAGAGATAGAGAACCACATCGACGTGAAAAGAGCAAAGAACTCCTCGCCTCCTTCTCTTTGGTGGTCTCCTCAACTTGCGCAATCTCTTCAAATGAAATCAATTTCGTTTATTTTTTTCAGTTTCTACTTTCTATTATATTATTTTATTCTTTTTTTTCAATCATACAAATGTTTCATTCTTAACAAATTTATTCCTCGATTAGTATTTATATTTTCTAGAATTAATATATGATTTGTAAAATGCTTAACGCTATATGTCAATTTATTCAAATTTTGTATTAAATGAAAATTTACTTTTTTTTTTTTTTTTTCAATTGTTTGTATCATATAGAATAATTATGTTTAATTTTTCCAATTATATATATATATATATATATAAGAGACAAAGCATTAAATACAAAGGAATCCGTATTGGTGTCGAGAGCAGGTAGTCTAGTCTTTCCGTTCGTGTTGTTCGGTTTAGAAAAGCACTGACGAGAGCAACAGTAGGAAGAGAAAGAGGAAGAGAGAGAGATGACTACGACGAGGAGGAAGAGCTTCGGTCCCGGGGATTTATTGGCGCAATTGGAATGCACCTCCGAGAGCATTAAACCGTCGTAAAACGTTGGCCCTCGTGTCACTTCTCTAACGCGTGCGAGTACGAGCCGGCCAACACGAGTTCTGCATACTATTGCTACAGGATAGAATTCCAAATTATCTCGAGAAATATGGGCTTCAACAATGACTATACATTTTTATTGCCATTGTTTCTTTTATGAAAAGGGCTACCTACGAAGGATGATATGTCACAACATTTTGTGAAAGAACTGAAACAAAAATAGAGAGAAAGATTTATTATATTTTCATTTTAGATAATAGAAAATATATTTTTCAAGCAGCAACCACCACCATCTGCTTTACCCTATCCCCTTTTTTTCATTTGTAATTGTTCTTTTTTCTTTTTTTTTATAGCAACACATTAAAAATTAATTTTAAATGCAACAATAGTATCTTACTGGTTATTTTTCTATAGCTGTTTTTTTCTTCTTCTTATAGTAACGTATAGAAAATATTACAGATATTATAAAATATCGTTGTCTGTAAAAATGTTGGCATATGTAGAATAACAAGACGATATAATCGCTTTGTATTATTAAAATCTCTCGAGAATGATAGAAATATAAAGACGTAAAATAAATGGAGAAACCGTGGTGGTGGTGGTGGTGGTGGTGTTTTCTTCACACCGGAGAGACACGCCTTGAATTCTGCAAGCCCGATGAAGTGGGTTAGCGGAACGTTATTCACGTAAGAGAGTGCTCCTGTATATCAGAATGAGAGAGAGTAAGAATAAGATAGAAAGGTCGTCAAACATGCGAGTTGCACTTCTCATTCGATAGTTTCTCTCGATTCGTTTCGGGTTATCTCAGTTGAAAATGATAGATCTAATCATTGAATATTCCTTTATAAATCTTTTCAATTTACTAATCCTTTTTTTTTTTTTTTACGAAACAACATTCAACAATCCTTTTATTCCATTTCTTGTTTCTCTTCTGATGTGAGTAAAAAAGAGAGCTTGCTTTTTCACGTGTTCGAAAATAACTTAGGACAAAACGTTTTATCGTTATCTGTTACGTAGGAGTCAAACGTAGAATTCCACCTTTTTTTAAGGGCCATACTTATCGTCGAGGGATCTTACCTTTTCTTTCTCTGTCTAAAAAAACTTTTCTGGTGTTATCGCATGTTCTTTTTTTTTCTCGAGCTAAACGCCTTCCGTCTCTGGATAAACCTATTTTTACCTACTTTTTATTCTCTTATTTATTTTTTGTCTCGATGTTGCTGGTTCACGTCGTTCACTCTCATCACTTTTTTTCCCAACAAAATTCAACCAAAAAAAATACTTCCTACAAAGTTCATTTTACTTTACGTATTTTTCAGTCGTTTATTTCGGTGGTATTAGAAATTTTCTGATTATATAATTTGATCTATCGCAGTTATTTATTAAGTATTAATATATAATTAATATGTTAGAATTGTAGTAAATGTTAGAAATGAGCGTGTAATAAAGTTTACGCGAAAGGTAATTCGTTTGATTGCATTTAGACACGAAAAGATCCATCCGTTTGTTGGTACGGGCTGGCACGTAGGTTTTTCTTTTTCTTTTTTGGATTAAGGTTGAAAAAGCCAGTTAATATTCTTGAAATTTCTTTCAACTTAGAGATTCGTATCGTTAAAAATAAATACATAGTTTGGTAGTATAAAAATAAAATGATTGTGAACGTTTGGCTATGAAAAGTTAGCGAGAGAATTGGAAACTTATAGGACAGCTGTTAGAGAGATATCTTTGGATGGGATCGTGGAAGAGCTCGATGACGTTAATCGTACCATGGCGTTAGTCGAACGCATGCGAACGAACGAACTTACGAGCGAGTATGGGAAGCTTCCCAAACAGACGCTAACATTCTCTAAATATTATCGCACAATATTTTTATCGCAGGGCCACAAGCCGGAATCTCTCGTTTATTTTCACGCCGGATACCTAGCTCAGCGACGATCGATCGATCGATCGATTAATCTACGATTTGCGTTTTTTTCCCCTCTTTCTTTCTCTTTTCTCTCTATCTATCTTTTCCTTTTTTCTTCTTTTTTTTTTTTCCCATCATTTACGAACGAAAATTTTTTATCGATTTATTATTTTCCTCTTTCGTGCTTTCGCATCACGAACGCTCGTTTCGTGTCATATCAATATATCGATTTTTCGTTAAACACACACACGTATCAATATGTATTTTTCTATATGTATTTATATTAATGTGTAGACTTGTAGGCGTGTAACTATAATACATTGTACAAGCTATTACGACGAAAGCAAGCGGGTATAATCCTTTGCTAAATATAATCGATAAACGATAATCGCCGTCTATGAAAGCCCTTATCGCGCCTTATCTTTAGCTTGACTACGATCCTCTCTGCTATTCGTTCGATTAATACACGTTTCCCATTTACCACGGTCTCTTTACAACCTATCTTTTTTATTTATCTACGGGTAATTGAACTCGTCCAAATAGATTCTAACTAGAAATTATTTATCATAACGTGCAAACACAAAATTCGTGGATTAAACTGTTAATCATTTGTAATTTGTTTGGTCAACAGTTTAGGATATTCTCTTTTAAGATCAATGAAAAAAAAACTATAATAAATAATAAATCTACTTGGAAATGATTTATAAAATTCATGCAAATGATTTGAGACTAAACCAAAAAAAAAAAAAAAAAAAAAAAAAAAAGAATAAAAAAGGCTAACATTATCATCGCATACAGGTAAATAGTTAGTTGTTAAGAAATTCTTTGGGGACCAATGGAAAAAGTATAAACACGAAGGACAGGGCAGGGGAACCCATTGAAAAGAAATTAATCCTTGTCCACCCTTTACACACCATGAAAACGTAACAAGTTTAGCTTACCTCGTGTCGTTTACTCCCACGAACGCTTGACAGTACTTTTCTTTTCTTTTTATTGTTTTTTCTTGTTGTTATTGTTGTACGACGTAGGAGATACCTTCATTACCTATACACTCGATCCGCGGAGTCACTCTCATTCAGAATTCAGACTCATGAATAGACGGCTGGGCCCACCCTTGGGAATTCTTCTGGGTTTCTTCGGACTTATTTCATTACCTCGTTTCTCTTTTTCCACCCTTCTTTCTTTCTTTCTTTCATTCATTCATTCATTCATTCTTTCTTCTTTATTTCCTATCTCTTATTTTCTTTTATCTTTATATCCTTTCATCCCATCCTTTTCTTTTTCCTTCGAAAGAATCGAGAGAGCAGGGATTTTTACACGGTGACAATGCCGACACGTTCTACTCGTTCCTTTCTAATGAAGTTCGCATCTACGAGAAACCAATTTACGGGATTTCGTATGAAACCAACGTGTCTGTGAGAAGACAAATTAAATATATATATATTATAAATCATCTTAAAGTAAATCCTTTTTGTGTTTTCGCAGCAACAGATGATAAGATTAAATATGAGAATGAAAAGGAAATATACGTGGGAGTAAAAAAGTATAGAAATTATCTTGATATCATGTCAATGGATAATTGTGTCGGCAATTATGATAATAATCTATGTTCCAAAAATTATATACACATATATATATATATATATTTATTGAATATAAAATAATAATATATAATATAAATGTCCATCAAATGTATTTTCTTCTTTTTATTTCAATTTCTTCATTTATTCGATTGTTATAATTGTCGGCATTTATGTTTAGAGATATATTTCTATTTGATTTTATAGATATTTGTAACAATATTTATTTAATATTTGAAAAATACTTATATATTACATTAAACGTGATACAATCTTTGGAACGAGACTCGTTAATCAGATTATGGTAATCGAGAATGTCATCTTAATTATATATGTATGATATATCTACGATCTTTATACAAGGATCAACGTTGTAATTAATGATTATTCTAGTAATTATAGCTAACGTGTAATATGCATTTTATAAATTCTAACGTATTATACAAATTTACTTGATATTCTAGTTTCTTCTTATAACAGTATCAACGTATAATAGTTTTTTATTTTTTCAATCAATGTGATTCATTCGTCCGAGTATCAAGAATTATTCCCTCTCTCTTTCTCTCTTTCTCATTTTCTTACTTTTTATTTTTATCTCTCCCCTTTTGTGTTGCTACTCAACAGGGAGTATCCTTGTAATCTTATCGAATTACAATCGAATGGTCATTGAATTCCCCATAGCTGCGTAATTTTGCGTGCCATTGGAATGTTACGGGGTTGCTTATCAGGAATATAATTACTTATTTATTTTAGGAAAAAAAGAAAGGTAATGAAGAAAATGATTAGGAGAATGTTTTTGAACGCCATGAAAGAATTTTAATGATATCAATCGTTATCGCGAGTACATCTAATCAGATCGTTTGCCTCGCAGATGAGAGGTTTAACCTTTTTTCATTTTTTTTTTTGCATCGTCATTGAGAAGGAGTAACACATGCACGCACGCACGCACGCACGCACGCATAAATACATACATACATACACAAAGTATTATGATACCTTTCTACATAGTGTGTTATAATACTTAATATAAGAATGTTGGTTTTTTTCTGATCGCTGATTTCTCGAAATAATAAATTGATAAAATACTTGAGAATCTTCTTAGAATTTGTTAACCTTTCTTTTTTTTTCATTATTATTTTATCTTACTGTTTCTACTCTTTAGAATTTCATTGAGTTTATCGACGCGTTTCCGGTTTTATAACATCTATACGTTTACTTTCTTACTTTACTTTACTTTATTTTATTCACATACATAAGAATCGAACGGCGGGGGTCCAATTAAAAGGAAGCACGCATGAGAAGGAAATCGTTGTAGGAAGGAAAGGAATGGGAAAGAGGGGAAAGGGGCAAATTATGCGTATATGTGTATGTGTTTACACATTTGATGATACGATCTACTTGCTTTTATACCGCAATTACGGATGATTTTAATTATTAAAGCTCTCAAACTAACATATCTCTGTTTATGTGTTACAGATCAGACAAGAGAAGCCCTACTACATAGCGGATCCGGAGGTTGACTCGCTGGTAAGTGTTTCCTCATTTACACCCTCGCTAAAACCCTACGAAAATGAAGGGAGACAATAGATACCTTCGTCAATTCCTTGACTAATTTCTAAATACCATTGTTGTTTCTCATTTGAATTATTTTTAATATTAACAAGTGAGTTAGACAATATCATTTCCGGCAACAACTTTTTAGGATTTTATCATTCATTTTCAGACATACATAAAACATATAAATGAAATGAAATACAAATGAGTGAATGAAAATTATACAATAATGTGTTTATATCGTGAAAAGCCGATTTTAAAGAAACTTTACTTTCATGCCTGTGTAATTTGAATTAATTGAATATTATCTAACGTATCATAATTATGTCCGTATTTGAGGAGTATTAATTACGATTTCGGATTATTCGGATTATTATTATTATCTTTTTTGTTTGTTAATCTCGTTAGAAAGATAGATATAATCTCGAATAAATTTATAATAAGTGTAGAGATGAGAGTTAGAGAGAAATAAGTAATATTATATAGTAGTAGTAATAGAAATTATTTACGATCAGTACTGTTTATATAAGTAGTGTGCCGTCTTAAAGTTAAAGTAGCTACTTCGGACGAAGATTTCATTGCCATTTGTAATGGTAGCGACCAGGCGAGATTTACGATCTTTCGTCCTACGTGAATCTAATTAAGAAACGTGCTACGAACCGTTCCTTCTGTGTGCTTATTTCTACGTGTACGTGTAAATGTATATGAGATAGTGAAAGAGTTAGAAACAGAAAAAGAGAGAGAGAGAGAGATGGAAAAAGAGAGTGTGTGTCTGTGTGTATTATAATCATGTAGCATAAAGGCGTAACAACGTTGAATTCCGTAGGAATAGAGTCGAGTAGAAGAAAAGAGAAGAGAAGAGAAGAGAAGAGAAGGGAGCTCTCTCCCGACATTGTTTTTTCCAAAGGCACCAGAAACACACTATATACTACTACAACCTATACCTACCGAGCATGTTACACACGAGACCTTCGAAACTCGGAGGAAGAAATATTTCAAACGACCCTCCGCGTTCTCTGATCGAGATAACGTTCTTCTAGTGGGCTTTTTAACTGACTCCTCGTCCGTACTACGAACGACGCTTTTCCGGCGTTTCAATATATATATATATATTTTTTTTTCTTTTTTCTTTTTTTTCTATTTTTTTTCCCCCTTAAACCGAACTCTAGAATTAGAACTTTTACCGGGAGAATATTATTTTTAAGATGATTATTAGTCGAATCGCGTGTACGGGGTATGTGTGTATGTGTGGTTTTATATTTGTTGTATCGGTAATTATGACAGCGACATTCGGTGAAAAAGTTTTTTCAAAATATATTTTTTTTGGTTCTTATAATATTAATAATTTTGAAGTCGTATTATTTTATATTTCTTATAATTCTAAATATATTTTACAATCTTACCAATTTTAGAATCAATTATAATATTCATATTTATAATTTCATGACTTAGTTCTTTTTGTCATAAATTGATTGTAAGTATTTAAAATATTAGTTGTTGCGTTATCAAAAGAAATGACGTTGTATTTGTAATCTCTCATCGAGTAATTGTCGAATTAACAAAGTCGATGGAAATAAAAAAAAAAGAAAAAAAGAAAAAAAAGGAAGAGAATATAAAAGGGGGAAAAAAAAATTGTAGCGCGATAACGTCAAATTTTTTCTGCGATGGACTCAACGATTTAACACGAAACGTTAGCGTGAAAAAGAGTGAGAGAGAATGAATGAATGAATGAGAGAGAGAGAGAGAGAGAGAGAGAGAGAGAGAGAGAGAGAGAGAGAGAGTAAGAGAAAGAGATAGAAATATATGGAAGAGTAAAAGGGAAAAGGGGGAGTGCGACGAAATGCATTTCGTCGGTGTTGTTCGCATCGTCGCGTGCAATTTTTCAAAACGTCACGTCCGTTTGCCTGCACGCGCATACAAGTGAAAGAAAGAGATAGAAAAGTTTTGCGAGTTCTATACGTTAGAGCGGAAGGCAAACAAACTCGCGTCACGAGTTTCGACAGTGACCTTATTGCGGGTTAACGAAAAAAAAAATCCCCAACAAAAAAAAGAATCAAATCAAAATAAAAAAAAAAAATGTAAAACGAAAGGCTTTGCTTCTGGGTTTAGTGAAAGAAAAAACAAATAAATAAAAATATAAAATAAAAGTATAGTAAATATTACGAGGATAGTCGTCCAACTACGGTTGACCAGAAAGAAGACCGCTCGAATTGAATTATGCATCGTCGTTGCAGTCGTCGTCGTTGCAGTCGTCGTCGTCGTTGCAGTCGTCGTCGTCGTCGTCGTCTCGGATGTCGGGCGGGAAAAAAACTAGTGGCATCCATCTAAATTGTAAACTGGAGATGGAGATGGAAAAGAGAAAAAGAAAGGAAAGAAATTTAAAAAAAAAAAACAAGAGAAAGGAATGAGAAACGCGAACAGGAAGGGAAAAGAATTTTTTCTTCCTGAGAAAAATATTTGAAAAGTCATATCTATTTTGACTTTCCTTCTATACGCATCGGATCAACGAACGAATCGTACGTTTGGTTAAATTTCCTTCTATTGGGAATAAGTTCAGAGGATACGTTTTCGTTTTCTTTAACGTTTTACTCGACGAACCAAAGGTACTACTACTACTACTACTACAATTACATGAAAGGACTCAAAGTGCCAGAAAATTCGAGGCAGCTGTTCTACCTGTATATACCCAAGGACTGGAAAAATTCATCGAAGGGTCTCTTTTTTCTCTTTTTTCCTGGTCTGTTGAAATTTCGACATCGTTACAATTTCGAACATTACCCCTGTTTATTTTCCCTAAATATATAGAATATATTTCTCTGCTTAATTAAGGTAAAGAAATAATATTATTGAGCAAACGATTTTTATATTTGTTTTAATATTATATATTAATATATTATAATTATATTTAAAAAAGCACAGGATTACACGAGTGTTTTAGCGTTTTAGGTTTAATAAAAAAAATAAGAAATGATTTTTAAGATAAAAATACAACGCGGAGAAAATGTAGATAATGAGGGCAGCCTCTAGTTTGTAAGGAAGAAAATAAAATAAAAAGGGGAAAGAAAAAGAAGAAAAAGAAAATAAAAGAGAAAAATCTCAAACGCAAGAAGAAACTCGTAGATTTAAGAAAACCGTACACACTTCGTCTGATATTTTCTTTCTTGGAAGGTCAAGGGCTCTCCTCCTCTACTCAGGTTAAAAAAAAAAGGACTGACTGTCTGGTTGGTCCATAGGAATAAAGAAAACTAAAAATGTATTCGTTTTTTTGTAGATACTTCTACAGGGTGGGTGGTGGTGGTAGTTTTTCCTAAACATTCGAGATCTAATCTCGAGCGACCACAAACGACGTTTCTTCTTCTCTCTCTCTCTCTCTCTCTCTCTCTCTCTCTCTCTAATTCGTATACAAATTTATTATAGCTGTATATATATATTCAAAGGAACGACGGATTCTTTCGACTACCCTTTCTTTTTCCTTTTATATTTTTATCCATATATTCTTGGATTTCGATTATGATTATCGTACGAATCGTCGTGCGTGTTCTTTCGAAACGCGTTCTATATTTTTTATATCTCTTTTTTTTCTTTATCAAAAAAAAAAATCGAAACTTCTTACTTTCTTATCGGGCCATAAAAAACACCTTCGTTATCTCGTAGAATTTTTTTAAATTCGATTTAACAACAAGACATGAAAACTCCTAAACTTTTCGAAGCGATATATAACAAATTATACTTTATTTTATTTGATTTGATTTTATAAAACATTATTTCTTTTCTTTTCTATTTTATATTATAAGAAATCACAGTGTGCATCACCCACGTGTACGTGTTTTTCGGCCGGACACGCTATATATATAGAATTTATCTATAACATTGTTCAAAAGTTAGCTACGTTAACATAATATATGTAAATACACAAAACGTCGTTTACAATTTCTATACATACACACATATACTCGTATTGGAATCGACGTGTGATCGGTACACGCAACAATACTCGATGAGGACACTCGAGATGACACCTCGTGGGCGTACAAAACGATGGCCCGGCTTTTTCCTCGACGTCGTAAAGGAAACGAGGGACGAAAAGATGGCAAAGTAACAGGAGGATAAGGATGAGGAGGAGGGGGATAAGAAATGGGATAAGGAGGAAGATAGGGAGGAGGAGGAGGAGGAGGAGGAGGAAAATAAGAATAAGAAGCTTGGTTGTGGCTACGGAAGAGTGCAAAGCAAGCAACCTTTACGTACTCTTCCTCCTCCTCCTCTTTCCTTAGACTACGAGGAGAGGGACACATTGCTAAGAGAAGGCGAGCCCTTTCTCGCACACGCGCTTGAATAATATCCTCCATTAGCATAAGCGAGAAATGAGCCAATGAGATGCTAATTGCCGGTCTTGCGTTTGGAGAATAATTACTGCGGGCCACTTCGACTGGACGTAATCTTTTGCGAGCTACTCTTTTCCACTTTTATTTTTCCTCTTTTCTCGTCTATTACAAGTTTTATTGGACACTTGAAACTTATGTTGAATAAACAAATGTCAAGATCTTTGCGATTGATCTATGTAATCTCTTCAATGAATTTAACTAATCATCCTTGTATCATATAGATTCGTGAGTTGGTAATTGCTTAATTTTTTTCTTCTTCTATATTACTATGTGCCAGTAATATGATTATATATTCGTGAATTTGATTATAAAATGTATTAGGAATAGAATTTCGTTAATTCAAATAAAAAATAAATATGTAGATATTAATTGATGAATATATACGTTTAACATTCGTGGAAGTAAGGATAGAAAAGATACACACACATATATATATATTTTTTTGTTTGATCGACACATGCGACGCACGTGGACCGCAAGAATGAATGCCAGAAGAGAAGAAGCATCGAAGATCTAAATAAAAGCTCCACGAAAGTTAGCTGCTATGGAAGATCCATGTAACGGTACCCGAGGAACCAAGGATACTTGATG